TTGGTTTAAGAACATACAAATTGCCAATTAATGAACCAGAACAAATCAAACGATTTCCATAACGAATAATAACCAAGTCATTAAACGTTAATGAAAAACCATCCAAAACAAGCTTAGAAACTGAAACAAGGTTCTTTCTAAAACTATAAACATAAAGGCAATGTCTCAAAACCAAATTACTACTATTAAAAGATAAAGTAACGTCTCCCACTGCAACAGCCGCCACTTTCGTAGCATTGCCCATGTAGACGGTGATCTTTCCCTCCTTAAGTCGTCTGGTTTCCTGGAGCCCTTGTAAAGAGATGCCGACATGATCAGTGGCTCCAATATATACACACAAGGTTCTGGTAGATACAACCACTAAACATGTTTCTACGATATTAATAAGAGAGTTACCTTTCTTGAGGAGAGGGCAGTCGACCTTCCAGTGTCGACTTGTTGCACTTGGCATCTGCCTTTCGGTTTCTTTGCCACAGCCTGAAGGGCCGATCGCGGGGCATCCTGAGCATTATGTGCCTTCGCCTTTCCTGCAGACTTCTTTCTCTTCCTGCCCTTGTGAGGCCTGGTAAGTACAGCCTGCTCGGTGACTAGCACATGAGGGTTTTGAGTGAACAAGGATTCTGCCGACTGCAGCTCAGCGAACAGTTCTAGAAGAACCATATGCATCTTGTGCATGTTGTATGTTTGTCCCATTTTTGTTGCATTTTTTGCGTTTATTTTTCCTTTCTTTTTCCCCATATTTGATCGTTTGGTTAGTTTTTTTAGTTCTTTTCGTTATGTATTGTGTGTTTTGTTTTATTGTAACCTTCTCTTTGTTGTTAGTTCGTTTTTTCTGTTTTCTGCATTTGTTTCGTTGTGTTGGTGTGCAGGTTAAAAGTCTCGTGAAGATAGGGGCCCGAGAATAGAGTTTCAATACTAGACGAGCGTAAACAAGCCCGAGACACCGAATGTAGTAGCAAGAATCGTTCGACATATCTCTATCAATAAGATTAGAAAAATTCCAACGGGGATCAACATGCTACCTTTTTCGACAAGCTCGATTTACACCAGCACCTACCATTCCGTAGCGAGACCTCCTCCACGCGCACCCCAGCCTCCCCATCCACGAGCCGACAGTCAGCAACAGCCGTGAGAAGCACCAGCAACCATTGCGCCACCCTTCTTTTTCCACCTCGGGAAGCTCACGCCTTGAAGAACTGCTGCACATCCGCCGCGCCGCTGAGGTCCACCGCGCCGCGCCAGTGAAGACATCTACCACGTCGCGCCGGTGCCCCAACTTGGACAGAGGAACAGAATTCCAGCCCCGCGCCACGGCACACGGCACGCCGCGGCGCCTTCCACCTTCTTTTTCCCACGCAGACTGTCGCGCCGCGACACCGCCGCGAAGGACCTCCCTGCCGCACCGCGGGCTGCTGCCACGCCGTGAAGAAGAAGACTGTCGCGCCGCGACACCGCCACGAAGCCTTCAGAGCTCCCAGGATTCCACCTTGCCGCGTCGTGAAGCCTTCCGCGCCACGAAGGGAGGATTTGTCGCGCCGCGCCGCTGCTCCGCGCCGTGAAGGACGGTCCTGCCGTGCCCGTGAGCTCCTCCGCGCCGCGACTCTCAGGCTGCTATAAATACGATCTCGAGAAAAGATCAGATCATTCTTTTTCTTTACGCGACAAACACCGAACCCTACTTTCATTCTTCTCTTTTCGTTCTTTAATTGTTCTTCAATAATTTACATCGTATAACTCAGATTTAAACTCGGATTTCATCATTACTTTCGGATTAATCTTGTAATTCAGATTTGGTCTTCAATCTCGTTTTAATCGTAAGATATTCTTTTCATCTCATCCATAGAAATGTTTGCTTGAGTTAATTTGATTGAGGTATTTAAATTCGATATGAGTAACTAATCCGAATTGCTAGGGAATAGGGGATGAAGTTTTGGATTCATGCGTGATTATTGAGTTCGTAGATTGTTCAATTTATGCGATTCATGCTTAATTAGGGTTTTCGATTTATGCTTGAATGTTGAGAATTATTAAAGGAGTGACACTTCGATTTACAATTGTTTGTTGATTGAATTTGATTCGTTCTTGCGTGATTTTGTTAACCCGATATCGACTAGTTGATTAACCATCTTCTAGGATTATTTAATCGGCTCTAAGAACCGAAAGGGGATGAGTCGGTCGAAATATATTCGCATGAACTAGGCTTGTTCGTAACTGTATTGCCTAGGAATTAATTGACTCATTAATTTGCCGTTCTAGTTTATTCTCTTGTTACGAATAGTTATTGGGAATGAATGCTTGATCTGGTAGATTATTCAAATTTCTTAGCTGAACAATCACTTGCCCGTTAGTTGCATATCGAACCAAAGTGGGAATCCCCGACTCCCTAGCTTGCTAAATCTTATTTGTTCTACGTGTTCACTTGCCATTTACTTGCTTTATTTTATTTCTTGCAATAGTTGATAATTCAAAACCAGCCAAACTTTGATTAGAATGTTTAGGAATTTTGTTTCTTCTATTCGTGTGTGAATAAACGTGTTTAATATTCTGGCTGACATTTCTCGAGAGACACGACTCGGTGTCGAATCTTTCGATTCTGCTCCGGAAAATATTTACAACATTGTAGTTCAACCGAAACTGATCAAAGTTTTTCGGCAGAGACTGGAGCATAATATCAACCTGTGTTTCCCCGTCAATTGGAATAATTTATTAAGATTTATGGAACTATTTTTTTTTTTCCCAAAAAATGGTATCAATCTTAACAAAAAATGATGTTATGAACTTACCAAAATCTTGGTAAAACATGGTTAAGAAAACATATGAATTAAAAAAATAAAAATAAAAATGGTGCATTCAAATTTTGAAAAGTTGCACATGATTTTGAAATTGATTTGATATTTTCCTAAATAATTATATAAAGTTTGAACTTAAATATCAAAATTTTGTTACCAAAAAATATGGATACGATTTTGAATGTATATCCCGCCTCTCAATTTTGTTTTAAAATAAAAATTGCATGTGCTTTTATCCAATTGGCACACATTTTTTTTTAAAAAAAAATTATTCAAAAAGATTAGATGAATTTGTTAAGAATTAAACAACTATTTGTTTTCTAAATTTATATTCAGTTTTCACAGATATTAAATTAATTGATATTTAGATTTGTTTTCATAATTATTGACATTTTTTTTTTGCATAAGATAAGAATCTCTATATTTCTTATAAAAAGAAAATGAGATAGATTTTTGTAATAAAAATAAAAAATGATACGAAAAAAATGAGAATCAAACTCCAAATTTGCTAAAAAAAGTGAGATTAAAATTTTGCTACTAAATAGTTAGAACAAAGTCAGATCAAGTTGTCTAACAATATGAGTAATTTTGTCTATTTTTTATTTTAAAGAGAATCAATTGTGTTCCTACTTCTCAATTTCGGTGATTCGATTATCGGTTATAAGTGAAACAACTTACCTCAAGCTGCACTGCGTTGTCATATGAGGAAATTTGATTTCTATAGATTCACGTGTATTTTTTTTTTATTTTTTTATTTTGGAAATTAACACTAATAGGAAGTCAAACCTTTTATTGTTAAATTATAATTAAATTTACTATAAAAATATTTTTCCAAAACATCTTTTTTATGAAACTCAAGGTATCACTTTTAGAGAAAGAGTGGGCGTAAAAGATATATATATATAAACAAAACGCATTGCTCTCAGACTCTCCAATTGTATGCAGTTCTGTTCTAACTCTCCCCTACAAAAACCAAACTACAGTGTGTATGCAAACTCAGAGCACCGTTCAATTTTTATAGTAATTAATCGAAACATTCAACCTTAATTCTCAAATTTTTCTGTATTTCATCGCCCTAACATTGTCCTGTGCAATTAAGATTGTAAATTTGATCGGTGTCACAAAGTTCTGTTTCATTCGATCTCCATTATAATCTTGCCCTTCAGTTGCCAACTCCATTGTTTCTATTCCTGCGACATTGTCTTACAGGTAAATGTGTAAATCGAGAAACCCTAATGAGAAAGGGGGAATTTATTTATTTATTGCCATATTCGTGCCCAGAATTCGTGGGGCTGTATTTCCTTTTCCTGCATGCTTTGGATTAGATCCTATATTGGTTGATTTCACTGTATTGTTAACTCCCATTTTCTTGACATGGGGCAGTGAGAAGTGAGGGGAACTAAAATTTAGGGTTTTGTTTTACCTTTTCCGATGCTACAGTGTGATGCGTATGGGAGATGTTTTATCAGGGATTTGTAAATTAAAGATCTGCGCTAGCGTGTTCAGAACAATCGGAAGGTATAATTTGGTTGTATTATTTGTCATGTAAGTTAATTTCGAGTTTTTTATATTCGATTCTTTCATATATTCGCAGTCTTGAAATTTTGTTATTAATCTGAAAAGTTGAATAACTCGATACATGATTTCCAATTTGTTTTTCAGTTACGTTCATCTTGATGAGTCTTACACACTTGGATTTTTTTTGCAAATTTGGCTCTTTTGTAATTGGTGGAGAACATTTCTGATTTGATTCTATGGGTGCTGGTTAGTCTGGTTCAGTTTTAAAAATTCCATTTCATTGCTGGAGAGATTCAGAGTTGTGAGCTAGTATCTGAAATCTTGACGAAAGATTATATTTGTCTTCACTTTTAGTGGTTTATGAATTAAAACTGTTTCCAAACAGAACGAAAAAGTAGTAACAAAGTTGGAAAAGGGAAATACCACTACTGTTATATTGATAAGTGTGAACTTGCTTGTCATTTGTATATTTAAACAATCTGGATTTGTCACTTCACCTTATTACTTTGCCACTGTTTTTCTGTAACCTTTTTTTTTTGTTTAGTTTTTGTTGGGTTTTCTTTAGTGTTAACTGTTAAGAACAATACTTTTTGAAAGCAATTTGCCATCAATGTCGGAGCGTGAAACTTTATGAACTGATTATTTGTGTCTTCTAGACTGAGGAGTGTGATGGTGTTAAACTTTTCAGGTTATATGGCTTTTCGGAAATATGTTCCGAGTAGTAATGCAACTCCCGTCAATATTAAATCCTTGAGTCTCCCCAATAAGGAGAATGTTAAATCGCATGAGGCAGATTTGCAGAATACACTCACTGAAGCTGATGTGGATATTGACCTCAGAGAGGTGTATTTTCTGATTATGCATTTCCTCTCAACGGGACCCTGCCACAGGACTTATGGGCAGTTCTGGAATGAACTTCTGGAGCATCAACTTTTACCTCGAAGATATCATGCGTGGTATTCACGCGGAGGCATGCATAGTGGAGATGAAAATGATGATGGCATGTCTTTCCCCCTTAGTTATAATAAGTTGGTCGAAAGGTAATTCGTGTTGTTTCTTTGTGGATGCCTGTGGAACTTTTTGTTATTAAGGTGCCTATGTATTACAGTTTTAGGTTTTTTGTATTTGCCAAGCTTTAAGATGGGGAGGTGCACATGCAAACACAGGAGGGAGGGAATGATTGAGTGAATAACTTCATTTTATATCTGGATTCTTAATCGTTATGATAAGAGACACTTGAACCTGTAGGTATCCCCATGTTGCAAAAGATCACTTGGTAAAGCTTCTGAAGCAATTAATTCTAGGTGCAGTTGCTCCATCGCGAGGTTTGGTTGGTGGAAATACACTAAATGCTGCTACTGTTCCTACGCTGCTGGGAAGTGGATCTTTCTCAGTTTTGACCTGTATGTATAGCTTGGTTATATTATTTTCTTTTTCTGCATTTTTTCACAATCTTTATGCCTTACTGATGGTATCTTTTAGACGTCTAGTTGATTAGATATTTGTCTGTTAGTTTCCAAAATGAGGGATATTTATTAGTTAGTATGAATTGTCAAAGAGTATAATAATCTTTTTTTTCTATCCCGAGTGCTACAGTACATGACCTAAAGAGTAGTGAAATGATTATCCATGGCTGTGTTCTCCATGTTATAGTCTGTTCTTTGGGAGATTCTGATTCACTCTTTTTGCTCAAGGCGATAACAATGGGACGGACAACAAATACAGGCATCCCCCAAGTTATATGCGCTGGCCTCATAGAAGAGCAGATCAAGTGCGTGGGTTAAGTTTAAGAGAAATTGGTGGTGGGTTTCCCAGGCATCATCGTGCACCATCTGCTCGTGCTGCGTGTTATGCCATTGTAAAACCATCCACAATTGTGCAGAAGATGCAGAATATTAAAAATGTCAGAGGACATCGTAATGCAGTTTATTGTGGTAACTTTCACCTTTATGTAGATAGTTTCCTCTAGGTTTAAAATTTTGTCATTTGTAGTCCTTACAAGATGGTTCTTCAAGCTATTTAAGATAGTAAGTGTTGATCATGTTGGTAGAAACATATTGCTTTGCTAATGAACTTTTCAGGTTTTTGATCTTTCCATTCTCTTTAGGATAATAGCTTATTGCTACATGAACTTCTATATGGGTTTATCAAGGTTATGTTCTATTTCTGCTCGGGACCATCTTCTAAAACTCAAAGTTGATAAACGCCCAATCTAGTTAAGAGTGTTTATTATTTAGAATTTTGAATTACGATCATTACAACAGTTTTAGCAGTGATCATATTTACCCGATCTAGTTAAGAGTGTTTTATTATTTAGAATTTTGAATCACTAACATTATGACGGTTTTAGCAGTGCTAAAATATTTACCCAATCCAATCACTTTCTTCCTCACAGCTATATTTGATCGGTCTGGAAGATATGTTATTACTGGTTCTGATGATCGTCTTGTCAAAATCTGGTCAATGGAAACTGCCTATTGCTTGGCTAGCTGCCGTGGACATGAAGTGAGTAAAAGTATAAATAGCCTCAAGGCTTCAGCATTTCCTCTTTATAACCTAAAGTTTTATTTGGTTTCATCTGTCAATCTGTTGCTTAAAGGGTGACATTACTGACCTGGCCGTGAACGTCAACAATACTTTAGTAGCTTCTGCTTCAAATGACTGCATAATTAGAGTTGTAAGATTCTCTGCAATTTATATATTTTTCTTCTCTTTCATGTTTGGCTTAACCATTTTCCCATATGACAGTGGCGGCTACCTGATGGGTTACCCATCTCTGTATTACGGGCTCATACTGGAGTAGTTACTGCAATTGCATTCAGTCCTAGACCTGGTGCTTCTTATCAGCTTTTATCGTGAGTGTTACAATTTGGTCAATCATATTTTTTTGGTCGAGTATTAAACTCATTAGGTTTTTGAACACTGGTTACTTTTTTTTTCAGGTCCTCTGATGATGGAACTTGTCGAATCTGGGATGCTAGGTATTCCCAGTTTACCCCACGCATATATGTACCAAGACCACCTGATTCTGCAGCTGGACCTGGTTGGTTGCCTCTTATATGAATCCCTTTATCTTTATCAACTTTGTTGGCATCATTTGGACTAATTTGGATGTAATAGGAAGAAGCAACGTTACCTCATCCAGCGTTTCTCAAAATACCCACCAGATTTTCTGCTGTGCATTCAATTCTAGTGGAACTGTTTTTGTCACTGGTAGCTCGGACAGTCTTGCAAGAGTATGACAATCAATTATTTCGTGATTATCATCTACGTTTTCTCAGTTTGAGTGAAATGTTCTAAAAGTCGCTAGGTGCTCGCTAGGCGCGCTAGGCGGGGTAGAGAAAACATTAATAAATTTATTTATATTTATCATCATACATAATTTATAAGGTATTTTATATAAAATATATTAATTAATATGGTTAAATACAAGGATTATGCAAAATCTAATGCATTCATAATTATTTTATTAATTTTGATATAGTTATTTATATTTTTATATGATTAGTATAATTTTTATAAAATTTTTATTAATTCTTTTATTATGTAATTAAAATATAAATTTCATGCGTAGAAATTAAAATATTTTTTTTTAAAAAGTAAATTAAAATTTTGAAAAAAAAAAAATATATGGGCGCCTAGATGCCGCCTAATTTCGGGCGCCTAGAACGACCGCATAGGCAAATGTCGTGGCGCCTAGGTGCTGCCTAGGCGGACTTTTAGTACAGATAGAGACAATTACTATAGCTCACAATCAATAAATTGTGCGCTGGTCTTTACAGGTTTGGAATGCTTGTAAATCCAGCACAGATGATCCAGAGCAACCTAATCATGAAATAGACGTGTTAGCTGGTCATGAGAATGATGTAAATTACGTGCAGTTCAGGTTTGGCTGTGTTCCTTTTTGTTTATCTTTTTTCTGTGTGAACTAGTTAACCTTAGTGGCTATTATATTTGCATATGCTTGATGCAGTGGTTGTGCTGTGGCTGCCCGGCTTTTCTCTTCCGATGCGTCGAAGGAAGATACTTTGCCAAAATTCAAAAATACATGGTGTGCTTGCTATCAACTAATCTTACGCTATTTTTTTTTTTTTCTGTTCTTTTCTTTTTTTTTTTTGATTCAAAAATATTTCTTCATGTTGGTTGATTTACAGGTTCAATCATGATAATATTGTAACCTGTTCTCGTGATGGTAGTGCGATTATTTGGATACCTAGATCCCGGAGATCACATGTGAGTTTTTATCCTTTTTTTAAACTCTATCCCTTCTTTTTTCGTTTTCCTTTTTTTTTTTATTAAATATATATCCTCTTGGTCACGCTACCTTTTCATAGGGAAAGACTGGGCGGTGGATACGAGCATATCACCTGAAGGTTCCACCACCTCCAATGCCACCTCAACCCCCCCGGGGAGGTCCACGCCAGAGAATTCTTCCTACGCCCCGTGGTGTAAATATGATTGCGTGGAGTCTGGACAATCGTTTTGTTCTTGCAGCTATCATGGGTATGTTGCAATGTGCATAACTATGCAATTATTGATATGGTGGAACCAGTATGTGTTTGCAATTGCCCTTTTTTAATTGTATGCTGCAAAATCATGAAATTTATTTCATCTGAGACTTCAATTGCTAATTATTTGAATAAAATGACTGTTGATATAGTCCATAAATTATCTGTTATCACACCTTTCTCTTTAATTGCGCTTGTTTAGTAATGCTGCATTCGCTTTCTATTTATTGCTCTAATGGTTTGAGATTACTTCTTTGCGGATTACGACTTATTGAACTCCATAAGAGGGGTATTCTCTGCCCTAGGTAGTTCTTATTTATTGGGATAGATCTGTAGGGAATTTCCAAATGGCTGCTTTTGTATGGATACTCAAAGCTGGTGTGGTACTATGTCAAAAAATTTAGATATTACTTACTGTAGCTTTTTGTTCATTTGCAGATTGCAGAATATGTGTATGGAATGCTGTTGACGGTAGCTTAGTTCATTCCCTGACTGGTCATACTCAATCTGTAAGTCCACCTTCAGTTGCATGTTTCTGTGTTGTCTCTTTTCTCTTCCACCCTCTCTTTTTTTTTTTCCTCCCAACAAGTTTCTGAATAGCAGTTTCCCTACAATGGTTTCCTTTTGATATTCATTTAATTTGACCTTTCTAATTAGTTTTTTCAACTATAAATGGTTGAGTACTGGTGGCGAATTATAGAAGAAGGATCTTTTTATTTGTTTTTGTTCCTTCAAATCACCTTTTAAAGTGAATATATTGCTTCTGAATTTAACATGAACAGAACTTTAGATTTTCCTTATGCTGCCTAATTGTGTTTGACTTTCTTTCAGACTTACGTGCTTGATGTGCATCCTTTCAATCCTCGAATAGCAATGAGTGCAGGATATGATGGGAAAACTATAGTGTGGGATGTGAGTTCACAGTCTTGTTCTTTGAAGCTCGTAGAGATATTTGTTAATTGCTTTTCTCCACACATTCTCTTCTTCTGATCGTCTTTAGATATCTCCAGATATGGGAAGGTACTCCAATTCGGACATATGAAATCGGCCCATTCAAGCTGGTCGATGGGAAGTTCTCACCGTGAGTTGATATCCACTTAGAAGCCGTCTCTTTTATATCTGGAGTCCTAGCCTTTAACATTTGAATTACTTTGATATTTCATTATTAGTTTATGAAGACTTCACACTATTATGGCGAGAAGATGACCACTTACATACTCATTTTTTCTTATTTATGATGAATGGCATTCTGAAGCACTATAATAATAATAATAATTGTTATTATGATTATTATTCTTTTATTTAGTATATTGCTTTATATGTGCATGTCTTCTTGATTTGCATTACACATTGATAAGGTGAATTTCCGTGAATTTTCTTGATCAACGAAGATATGGGCCATTGTGCTCTCATGCCCTCCACAATTGGGGCCGGGGGAGTTTCAAATGCATGCACATTCTTTATTCAGTATGCTGGATCTGCTTTGCTTTAGACATGGTCATCGAGAGTTGCTGTATAGTGTATACTTATATATATTGATGTAAAATTCTTAGAGATTTACTGGTAGGACCTGCTGTAACCTGATTGGCTTTAAGAATGTGATTCTGTCGTTTGAACATGACAGCAATGTAATTTTGTCAAGAGGTTTACTTGATAAAAGTTTCTTGTATCCAGGGATGGCACATCCATTATTCTTTCTGATGACGTTGGCCAGTTATATATATTGAGTACTGGACAAGGTGAATCCCAGAGAGATGCTAAATATGATCAGGTATTCATGGATTACTGGAACTTTTCTGTTTATTTTGCATTAACTGTTCTAATTTCTGATTCTGTTGTGCTCTTGTTGAAAGTTCTTCTTGGGGGACTATCGCCCTCTTATTCAAGATACACATGGAAATGTCCTTGATCAGGTTGGCTTCATCCTTCTCTTAATAATATATATCATTCTTCGTGATAGCTGAAACAGTTGTTGATATCTCTAATCAAATTGATGCTTTAAGTATACCTTCGTCATGTATCTGCCTTATGTACTTGTCTTGCAAGATGTTAGGGACATTAAAATAATTTTGTGTAGTTCAATTTAGTGCCGGATTTCTGATTTGTCGACTGGATCTGCAATTTTTCTCTTCTGATGCTTGTATTTTATGTTTAGGAAACACAACTTGCACCTTATAGGAGGAATATGCAAGATCTTCTCTGTGATTCTGGTATTTCTGGCTCTCGTTGACTCCTCCTCCTCTTCAATCTTGTCTGAACATTCTATTACAGATATAGGGTTATTTATTTGTTTGTCTGTTTTGGCAATTCCTAGGAATGATTCCATATCCAGAACCTTATCAGAGTATGTATCAGCAAAGGCGGCTTGGAGCTCTTGGGATTGAGTGGCGCCCATCATCTCTAAGATTTGCCATCGGAGTGGATTTCAGTCTGGATCCGGATTATCAAATGCTTCCTATACTGGACTTGGATACTTTAATTGATCCGTTACCTGAGTATGTTGATGCAATGGACTGGGAACCGGAAATTGAGATTCACAGTGATGATAATGATACAGAGTATCAAATAATGGAGGATTACTCGTCCGGAGGTGAGCAGCTGAGTTTAAATTCCGATTCTGATGAGCCAGAATGCACTTCTGGCAACAGCGAGGATGATGAGTCACTCAGAGATGGGCTTCGAAGATCAAAGAGGAAAAATCAAAAGGTAAATTGACCTCTGTGTGTGTGGGCGTGTGTGCCTCTGTCTTTTTATTTATTTATTTATTTATTTTTTTGAGGTTGATTTTGGGCTTTTTCTGTAACTGGCAGAGAAAGGGTGAGATAGGAATTAGGATACAGTTCCACTAATTGGATTATTTATTACTAGGAAAACCTTTTGAGTTTGTTTGGAAAGATCTCAAGAATATACTGATCATCCACTTTCAGTTCTCCCACTCTGATCTCTTCATTGAGTCTTTTCTTTGAAAAAATAATCCAATCACCCACCATTATTAAACATTTTCCCATCATTTTTACTATTCACCAAGTCACATACTCTAACTACGGTCAATATTTTACTAATGACTCCCCACCAACCCACATACTCTAATCACTATTTGGTCCTTAAGTTGTAATCTACATCGGCTTGCCATTTTTTTTTTAACTTTGTATTTATTGGAACATTTTAGATGGAGATCATGACATCTTCTGGTAGGCGTGTAAAGAGGAGAAACTTGGACAATGAATGTGATGATAGTTTAACAAAAAAAGCCCGCACTAAAAAATCACGAGCTGGCAGAAAAAGCTTGAGCAAGAATTCCTCGTCAAAGTCTAGGCCTCAGAGGGCGGCCGCCAGAAATGCGCTCCACCTGTTCTCCCGGATCACTGGAACATCGACAGATGGTGATAAGATTGGCTCAAATCGTGACTCGTCTGAAATCAGTGGGTCCACTCAGCAGGACTCGAGCTTCGGAAGTGAAGAGGAATCCGATGTATCTTTGCCAACAGAATGGTATGAAAATTCGAAGGGAAAAGAAATAGCCTTGGATCAACCGGAGGCTTTCGATCATCCTCATCCTAATGCCGTGGGCAAGAAGAGATTAATTCTAAAATTGCCTAACCGGGAATCTAGCAAACATCTCGCTCTAAATGAAAAGCAATCTGCTGAGGCAGGCTCGTCATCTGGAGTTCCTCAGAAAACCGATGATATTAGTGAAACTTGTTTAGATGAGGGTGTACATGGTGATCGTCATTTAGACCTTCTTGGAGGGCGCAAAGATGGTTCTATTACGTGGGGTGGGGTTAAGGTCCGCTCCTCTAAGAGGTTGAGAATTGGTGAATCACAAGTAGAAAATATCACAAATGGTCATTCATCTTTTGCAAAGGAGCAAGAGACTGATAGTGCAGGTTCGGGTTTTGAAAATCAGGAAGGGAATTTAGAAGAAACTATTTGTGAGAAAGAGAAATCTTGTGGGACCGGTGAGCATGAAAATTTGGAAGAAGCCAAAATTGTTGAGTTTGATGGAGTTAAGGGTGAGGATTGGTCGTCAAGCCAGTTTCGTGATGTTTGCAATGGTACAACATCAACTATTGTCCTCTCAGGTGTTGCTGAAGACCAATTGAAATCAAAAGAGAACGGTGGTCAAACCCCGATAAAGTTACGAATAAGATCTTGCACTCTATCAAGGGATCACAGTAGCCCCAGAAAAACTACAGAGGACAGTTCACTCAAAGGTATTGAAATACGTGAAAACCACATTGCTGAAGAGAATATAGGTTCAGAAAGCAAAGATCTGTGTGTGCTCCAGGATCCAATTGGTCTTGTTAATGGAGACTCATCGAGACCCGATTTGAACAGAAGGATGTTCACGGCTGTTTATAGAAGGCTAAGGCCTTCAAAAAATAGAAGTAATACAGAAGAAGGTGATGGTGGTGTGGAAACCAGCACCTCGAATATTGGAAAACGTACTTTGGATGCAGAAATCGAGGTTGCCCCAGAAGGTGTTCGTAGAGCCAGGTCTATTCGGTTCCGGTCGAGTACTCGTGATCCAAACACATCACTAAGAAATTTCAAATTTCACGAGACACATGATAATTTGGAGGATAATTCGATTGATAATGATACGGCTTCACCCAGTGGAGGTGAAGAGGTGGCCCGTGAAGAGTGGGGATCCTTATCCAGAAATTCTGTTCCATTAAGATCCACTAGGAGCAAAAAGGGTAGTCGTTACACTCGAGATGATAGTCCTCCGAGGAAAGTAAATCAAACTGGGAAATGTTCGTGGTTGATGTTAACTATGCACGAGGAAGGGTCCCGATATATACCTCAAAGAGGGGATGAAGTTGTTTATTTTCGACAGGTAATTTCAACTTTGATGGTGACGTTTCTTGTTTTTCATTTGGGACATTACTTAAACTGCCCTGAGGTTTAGCCTTACTAGAAAATTCCCCAGTTATCTTTATACAACACAAGTTCCTCTTAAAGTGTTTCTGAGTGAGATCTGTATTTTCACAACAAATAGTTGACTTGTAAGTTGACAAATGTGTTAAACCTGAAGCAATTGATTTCCCTCTTGAATAAAATAATGTGATTGCAATAGCTATCCCTGATGTTTGGAATGGGTTTACTGAAAGCAACTAAAATCAGAGAATCATTTCGGGGTTTGATTCTGTTACAATTTTAAGTGGCGTCTAATATTCCTACATGGATAGAAAGAGGGTTTTGTAA